AGCCAGAGATTTGAAATTCCATTTATGCAGCAGTGCTTAAATGTGGGATAACTTTTAGACAATAAAAGCTACAGACTCGAAATTAATTATGAACGTCCTTATCATGCTCTCCCAATTACTGAATATTTTGAATAATAGATAGATTCAATCAGGAATTCTTCATAGGAAACTCCTAACTAGATCAAATAATATTTCTCTTTATATTAAATATTTTGCTTGAAATCTTAGCTACTCCCCCGCAGGTATGTGTTATACTTAATTTGAGTTATTTGGATTATTATGCAAAGAATTTCTTAGATTGAGGTCATTTAATGTTTGCTTTCGATTGTATGACCACTGTGCACACTGTTCGCAGCTTGTATTGATAAGATGCGCTCGCATTGCAATTGACATCGTTAAAGCGAACAACGCTATTTGCATTTATTTTCACAATTCATATTTATTTTTGGCAGCCTTCACTTTTGCTCTATGGAAAATGCTCTATATTCCCTGTATAAGAAAGGGTATTATGCAACTAGAGAACCGTGTGATAGAGGTGGATAAAAAACTAGAATGTGAATACAATTTATTGTTTTAAAAGTGAATTCGAAAAATCAAAAAAATATAAATTTATATATTATACTATTTATGTTTTTTTTTTTTTTTTTAACTATACAAATTGATTAACTTATGCGCTTCTTTCTTTCGCCTCATTCAGTTACATTTATTCACTTGCGCTTTGGTGGCATCTTTTCGGCTGGTATCGCTTTACGGCTTGCGGTTGCCGCAGCTCCTGTGGATGCAACAGCTGCGCTTCGAGCCGAGTCAAGGCGAGTCGAGTCAAGTCGAGCCGCAAGTGCTGGGCAAATGTATCTGCGGGCGAGTATCTGAGTATCTGAGTGTCTTGATATCGCCGTCACTGCATATCTGTGTATCTTGGTAGCTTTGTATATTTGCGTCTTGTGCCATATGTGGCAACTCGTGGCTGACGTCTATTGTGGCCCGCTTGACTTTTGTGCATTACGTAAGCGCAGCTCTTGCCGAAATGGTCCCCAACCCTCCCAGCCTGCCTCTCTCTCTCTCTCTCTTTGTTCCAGTCTCTTCCGAGTGATTGGAGGTTGTGACTGCAATTGCTCAATGCAATGTCTGCAATGTCTGTGTGAGTTGACTCTGTGTAGTTTTCGAATTGGGAATGAAGTGCAGCGCTCCGTTTGACACTTGCAGCTGTCAGCGCGGCACTGATTGATCGACTGTGTGTGTGTGTGAGTGAGTGTGTGTGGGGGGAAGAAGGGTGATTAACTGGGCCAAAACAAACATTTTGAATGCAACACACACTGAGGTTAATGATTTGATCAGTTTGCATTGGAAGCAGCTGACAAAACACGGAGAGATCAATCAGCTACGGAGTCAGGTGCTCAAAGAGAAGAGAGCAATAAGTTTAGTGTGTATTAATACAACAATAAATGCGCATAAAATAACAAAAGCACAAAAAAGAAGTCGAAGGCATTAGGTACTGGACATAATAATAACTAAATAAATGCAAGTAAAATAAACTAAATAACAAATAAGAAAGTAAATGTAATTATTTTCCCTTACTTTGAAACATTTTCCGTGTAATTTAGTGATCGTATTGCTACTACGATCTAGGCGAATTCGTTCGCAGTGAACTACTGTCGCTTCGATTTATGATCATAGATCGGAAGGAATATAATAATAATATGTTTGCTTATAATCAAACATAAGTTTTTGATAGTTTCTTTGGCACTCATAGCACATCACATCGAGGTATCCTTTTCTTTAATCAATATTCTCATTGGTTATTGGAGCTCATGCATGATTGGGCTTTGTCCATTATCTTGAATTGTCGTGCATTATGCACTGTCGTGAACGTTTCCAGTTTCAAATGCGTTGCATAATACATCATGACTAAGGAGTTTGTTCCAAAAATACATTGAATAAAATATGAATATGAAACAGGAATACACAAAAACAACTGTGTGGAAAGAGTATTGATACGCTTACCATAAATCTGAAGATTGTTATAATTTTGGTTAATCATATAGATAGCTGAACTAAGTTGGAATTGTAATCTCAGGGTATATTTACTGCAAATATTTGGCATTCATACATTATCGCTATTAAATTCAAAGTGAAATCAGATTTATTGGTTAATAATTTTAATGAGCAATAAATATTTGAAATTATGTATGAGCAGGGTATCTTTATCTATTGTTCATATTATCTTTGTGTATTTATATGTACAATATATCCAGATCTCAGCCTTAGTCTCAGAGCTGACCTTAATTGAAAACTATTTTTTATTTTTAAAGCATTTTTTCCATTTTCTTCCATCTCTCTACCATCTTTGCGCTTATCTATAATAAGCTACACTTGTAACGCATTTGAACTTCAGCCAGGTCAAGTGGGAATGCTCAGTACACTTAGAATGATTGATGAGAATCATTCAAGAGCTGCTTCCCGAGCGTTTAGCTGCTGAAAAGCCAACGGCAACTACGATTCCACCTTATCTACGTATATGAAAAGGTTTGCCGCACGTTCGCTGTCTTTTGGCTTTTATGGAAGCCATTAAGAATTCCTATTGATAGAACAATAAAATTGTATTTATGCTGCTAATGAATGAAGAATCGTTATTCTGTAGCTGAAAATCAGTTTAGTGCTATATCAAAAATTTACAAGATTTCTTCAAGTTCTTTGTTTTCTTACTGCAGTTTTCGCTCAGTGCAGCTGTTAAACGTGCACTCGACAGCATTTATCTATCGATTGTGTGTGCTGGCAACTTGTTGGCCAACTGCAAGACTCTGCCACAAGTCGTCTCCCCCCTTCCTTTGTTCCTTACAATTTTGGACCCCATTCAGAAAAACTTTCTTTGGAGGCAGCGCGCGCGCCGCACGAAATTAATTTAAATTTATTGTCTCAATTTATAATGCTGCAAATTGAGCGTTTGCCAAAAATAAACGTTGACAGCATTCGCTCGCATAGTTCAATGTGTCTGTCAGCTGTGCCACGCCCACTTCAGGGTGGCCCCCTTCAAATTGAACTTGAACTTGGCTTTGGCTTTGGCTACGGTATCGGCAAAAGTCAAAAGTTTTGCCGATTCGCAATTGTATCTATGCGAATAGTTATTATAAAGTTTGCCGTCATCTAAGTCCAACTTGAAGTTTCCTAGTTTTTCTCTGCTTTTCCGCTCGATGGGCACTCGAATTTCGAGCAGAGTTCGCAAATGCAGCCGAACAAATTGAGTGCACACAGGCGGGCAGACGTTTGTCATTTGTCTGCTGTCATGTCAGTTGTCAGTTTGATTTTTCGACTTCTTATTGTTCTTGTTGCTGCTGCTGCTTGCTTTTTTTATGGTTATTTTAAATTGTAACAACTGCTATGACGACGTCCACGACGACAGCAGTCCACAACAACAACAACAAGAAATGCGACGGACTACGAAAATAAAAACAAAATAAATAATAATATATGTACATATATATATATATATAATAAAATGCTAAAAAACAAACAAAAGACAAATTGTGCACTCTGCGAGAGCGTGCTGACAATTTTTTATAGATTTTTCTATGCTCTACATGTGCAATTCGTGAATGGGGTATATTAGCTTTGAAATAGCACAGGAATTAGCTCTAAATAATAGTTACATTAATTACTAAATTATTTTATGAATGTAAACTGAAATAAGTGATCGTTTCATACTCACTTTTAGTCAAATTTTACTGTTGAATGGAGAATGTATTGTGTTTTAATATTTTACTTAGTTGCTTAGTTTAATCTCTATCGCTTAGACTGGCAAATCAATCTGCACTCTTAAATATTTCCTAAGAGAAGCTGTCATGAATGTGTTCTCATTTGCAAACTCTGATCCCTACTAAAAACAACCCACGTTATTTATTTATCATTTGTTGAGTTAACAGCAACCAGAAACGCATAGCCGTAACACTGATCTGGAAACTACCAAAGTCTCTGCATATATTACGTATGGATACACCGTTTGAGTGCAGCTTCCCATGTTATCTATTAGGTAGAGCATCTGGGAGCGCATTGCCTTCCGCTACTTTTGATTGGCTTCGCATGCTTTCGGTTTGACACACGAGCTGCGCCATAGAGTTTTACAGTCGTTGACGTCTGAGCACTTTATCTTAATGTCAATTCTTTCCGTTCCCTGCTTGGGTTCGGGGTTTCGGGTTCTACTAGATGGCGGCCTTCGAGTTGGGCGGTCCGTTTGGTCCCTCCGCTTGGTGCGTGCTGTGCTGTGCGTGAAGCAGTTAAAACGACGTTCAAGCAAATTAACAATAAAACAGCCATTTGTAAGTCAAGTTCGGGCCACGTTTAGAGCTGTCAAAAAATCACGACATCGTTGCGTTAATGGCGCTTAGAGCTGAGCTGAGCGAGATAAACTGGCGCTAGGATTTACTAGCATTTACATATATATTAGACGGGCTTAGGCGGGCCCTGTGACTCATCGAATTGCAGCGCGGATTAAATGCACTGGGAAAAACAGTCTTCGAGTTGAGCGGGATGCGAAAGGCAAAGCGATCAAACAGAGATCAATCTAGAATTAGGTTCATTTAATTGCTCCAAGAAAATGAAAATTTCTTACCCAAGTAAATTTTAATATTCAAATTATACTTGTAATCTAATATAACTGAGCGTTTTTCAATTGAGGCAAAGTTTGGCACCAAATACTTGAGGTCAGGGACTATAATGAATTGATATATAATTGCTGTAGCATTTGAAATAATGAAATGAATTCGTTTCTGTTAACTGAATATTTAAATATTTCTGCAAATAAACGTATGTATATTCGTATATATATATATATTTTTTAATTATATTTTATTTGCAATCTTTTAGTTTGTGTTTTATTTTCCATCTGTTATAAGTCTATGAATCGCTCAATTGATTTCTCTCAGTGTAGTTGATCGCTTGCATTTACGCTTTAAATGCAGCCACTCAAGGCGCTTCTGAACTCATTTGTGTTTGGTCTCTGCTTGCAGTACGACAACGTGAATTCGTGCCTGCACGTGCTGCGGAGTCAATCGGTGGGCGGCTTGGACAACATCACGACGAACGACATCTGCGCGGGTCGCCTCAAGGCTGTCCTTGCGCTGTTCTTTGCATTGAGCCGGTATAAGCAGCAGGCGAAGCAGACGAAGTCCATTGGTGTTGGCTGCGCAGTTGGTGCAAGTGGTGCAGCTGGCTCAATTGGTGGAGGCTCTGTACTGGGCATTGGCCTGGGCGGCAGTCTGAGAGCAGCGACTGCCAACAATTCGCTGGACAGGAAACAACAGCAGGAGCAGCAGCAGCAAAACAAGCAACAACAAACGCCACAGCAGCTGGCTCAATCCTTAGAGAACGGCAATGAGATGGTGAATCGGTAAGTGCAGCAAATAAATATATGTACATATTTAATATATTTTTGGTTTTTGGTAACATTTTTATGAGTTTGAAATTCAAAATGTAACAGCCAGTGTTAACAGTGTGCCACATAGCAGTCAGTATTTGTCTGGCTTCGACGCTACGGTTTGCGTCTTCGCTAAATGAGTTGACTACTCGACGAAAGTGTTAGCGCATCTGGTTGGTGTCTCAACTATCAACTTAACGAAGATTGCTCCACCTGTTAACGAATGCTGAGTTAACAGCAGCTCTGCTAAGATTACAGAGAGGAATTTCAAATAGAAATTTTTTGGACTCACTAGTTTATGTAAAATAGTCGATTGTCTACATTTTAACAGCAAATTTGGAACAGATTTGAGACAATGTTAAACTATGCAAGCTTTACATATGCTAACTTAACATATGATAAGCCTCCGTTCCTAGCGTTCGTTGCTGTGATATCTTTACATACATATGCTGGCTCTGATGAATAATACTCGAATTTGAGCCAAAATTAACTCGTAGATTCTAAGGAATCTCAATAAAACACGGAATTCTGAACTTTTAGGCTTATATATGTATATGCCATTATATATATGTGTATTAAATAGCATTCCCCCCAGCTGTGCATCCGTTATAGCGGATTTGCTGAAATGCCAAACATCATTTTGCCCGCGCAGTGGCGAGCTCATCCTTGGTCGTAGTTCGACCTCAAAGCGAACTCATATCAAATGGAAATGTCGCAGATTTCCGATGTATTTGGCTTACACCGCCATAAGACTTCCGGCAAGACTTCACCTGGTAAAAAATAAATTCCAAGCAAGTTTAATATGATTTATTGGTTTGTTTGCCGGAAATTACAGGCGATTCAGCTCACTCCCTCCGCCAACATCTGTCCCCAAGTCGTAAAAAAGGAGCCCCATGCTTCGAATTCCGTTCCGAGGCAGAGACACTAAGCAAACAAAATTGGCATACTATAAGAGGACAATCTGTGTGCGAGTGTATGAGCTCTTGAAAAGCTGAAAAATTCAAAACACGAGAATGGAAAATTAGAAAACTTTATATTTGGTCGAGGAAAGCCCCATGTGAAGCGAGAGTGCGAGAAAGAAAGAGAGAGAGAGAGAGTTGCCGTCGTCTGCGTCTCGGGAGTTTTCTTGTGTTTGCAACCCTCGGGGAAATCCCAGCAGAGCAGACAGGAAACGGAAGCTTTTGTTGTGCTACCAAAAATGCGGATAGAGAAATGGGGACGGACCATTCGCCGTTTAACTCTCGTTTCGAGGTCTGGCAATCGGCCTCCATACTTCCCACTCTGTGCCGCCATGTGTTGATGACTTTCACTGACTATGAAATTTAAATGCGTAACGGAAATGTTGGCAGTGTTATTTTTTGGTTGAGGGGCGCGTTGACTAGCAGACAAATAAATTACACTGGATTTTTATGGTCGTCCTTGCGCCTAGTTTGTGGTAGGCAACAGGGAAAAACACGAGCGGGGCTACAGGACACAGGACAGGACGGCAGGACGATGACAACAATGCGGCAAGTTCATTTAAAGTTCCAAATGCCATAAAACTTTCACTGCAAAGGGGATTGAACGTGGTCTGTGAATACCCTAACAATGGCACAATAAAATTAACAATTGGTAAGCTGAGAGGGGAGATAGATTATCATATGCATCATAATCAGGAATAGTTAGAGATGAGAAATAGGGCTAGCACAATCGAATCGAAATATCTCTCAAAGCCACACACTTTGTACAAACACAACTTGCAAGTGTATTTAATATTCGGCCATAGGTAATATTCGGCTCCTGCTCCCGAATACATTGTGCGTTGTTTATAATGTCTGCGGTCTGGCGACCTAGACACTGAAACACTGGGCTGTCCAGCTTGCTGCGGAAGTTTCAGCTGTACCAAAGCAACCCCCAAAAATGTCAAGCCAACCATTAGCGAATGGCAATGGGACCCCTCAAGAGGGGGGCTCATCTAGTGGAGGGAGAAGCTATGTACTTCTGAAATTCAAAAGCATTTTTAACGGCAAGCGACAAGTCGAGCAGCTGGTGCACGGCGTTTTATAAAGCTGCCTCGCGCACGACTTTGTGCCAACAGTTTGCAAGTTTTCTGTAGCTGGCACTGATTTGCCTTCCGCACTTGCCACCAGCCGCCAGCCACCAGCAGGGCAACATGTTGCATATAATTAAACTAAAAATTGCGAGAAAGCAAGCTGTTTGACTCGTTCTCGAGGCGGAAGACTTCAGCAACAGCTGATGACATTTCCACCCCGTAGCTGGAGCAGGAGCGGGAGCTAGAGCCGGAAAGCTGCCATTTATAACTGCAAATTGCGAGCCAGACATTGCAACAATATGTGCTCCCAAATGTATTTATAACATTTGTAACGGAGCCAAGAAGGATCTCTGGGTCGAGAGGCTGGGGAGTTTAATGGCTTCAAAATAACCCCCGATGCTACGGGACGTGGGAGGTCACATAATTGACATGCGGCAGCTGAGGGCGTGAATTCCAATGCATACGTTCAAGGAGCTAAGCTCAAGCCAAGCCGAAGGACTAACTCCACTGCTACCAAGGGGTGACCTCCCCTCCTCACCCATGGCAATGGGGGGTAGGTAAAGCTCCCACGTGCGTGCGTTCTCTCTAATTCGCATGCATTTATGCGTGACCAGGCACAGGACGCAAACCAAACAAAAATCAAACCTGGCAACAGGCACGCAAGCAGGCAACCCGTCTGGCAGGGGGCGGTCCATCAGGGAGTTAGCTGTTGCAGTTGTCCTGGCTACAAAGGGATCTCTCGCTCCTTCTCACGACAGACCAGCCACACCACAAGTTGTCAGCTCGTTTTGGCCAAAAAGCTGTGTCCTTGTACGCCCGCTTGTTGTCTGGCTTAACTTTTGTTGCCCTGCGGGCTTCAGTTTATCGCTGCCCTGAAAACACCAAGTGGGGTATCTCACTGCATGTCACTTTTCTAGTATATCAAGTATACGTCTACAGGGTATTTGTCTGTGCGAGCATCCTCTGGTCTTTCCGCAGCGGAGAGCACGTCCTGCATGCTGAATTTATAATTCCATTTGTGGTTTTAATTTCGTAAATGTGAGATTAATTTTATTCAATTTGCTATGCGGGGGTTGAAAGAAAACAGAGTATTCGCATTGTTAGACGCCCAGACTCGTTGCACGCTTCATTGACTCCCAATTGTCAATGCGCTCGAAAACGAGGCGGAATTGGCAAAGTGGGCGTGGCAGAGCGAACAGTAATTAACTGGGAGGACTGTCACTGTGGGTCACTTTAGTCGCATTACTATCCCGACGCGCTTCCGAATTACGCTTCGACTCATCCAAAAGCTTCTTGACTAGCAATTCATCTCGCGAGCTCAGAGCCGAGACGTATATGTCGCGCGTTGCTCGGAAATTGCCGCAGTTATACAAGTGCTCGTTCTCCAATCGAAGAATGTTCCAAATGAAACGTCGCTTGATCTCACAAATGCTGTACAACGTCTTTATATTGTTGGGCAGCAGAAGATCATTGTACACCAAGTACACCTCGAACGCCCAGAAGAAACGTATCGAGAGATCCGCAAGGATGGCATAGTAGTAAAACCACTACAGCAAGTAAACAAAGACGAGAATAAGCGCGCATTGCCAGAGCAGTCAAGTCGAGCCTACCTTGGGGTAAATTAAGCGTTTTCGAAGGAATATATTTTTGCCCCTCCAGATCTTGAACAGGCCGTAGTCTTGCAGCAAGTCCCAGGCCGTACAGTATATGGTCGACACGAGGGTGCTAGCTAAGTAGCCCCAAGTCCAGGGATTCGCAAAGATGCTTTGGTACTTGTCTGCATGGGGAGATAATAATAATAAAGTTCTGCTGAGAGCATGGCTGGGCCACTTACCGCTCGTCTCCATTTGAACGGTTGAGATGATGCCAACGAGCAGTGTAGAGCCGTAGGCGAAAGCATTGACCAAGTATGAAGCTGGCCGAAGTGGACTATCGCAGTAGCGCTTTATGCATTGGGCCATCCGGAACCAGGAGGGCAGGCAGCGCAGCACGGACACCATAGCGTCTGGCTCGAAATCGAACGTATCCTCTCTACCCATCGAGTAACGCACATAGAAGCGAATCAACTCATAGTAGTCCACTGAGCACTGCACCAGGGATCCCAGCTGATCGGCTATCCAAAAGTCCGCAAAATGCACATAACAGAACGGAGCTGCCAAAATGCGTCCGAAACACTGCAAGATCCACATACGAGTCGGAAAATTCATAATATGCACTGGATTTATGAGCAGCGCCAGGGGTAGCACCAGTCCAATTAGCGGAATATAGAAAGGATCCTTCACGCCAAACTCCTTGTGGTGGATGAATAGCAGCATGGCCAGCACACAGACGTACCCAAAGAAGCTGGCTGTGCTGAGTAGCTTGAGACACTCTGTCTGATTGCGAGGATTCAGATCGAAGATAAGCACGTGATTAATGCCCACACTCTGCCACACATAGACGTTTGCCACCACGCTGAAGCCATAGAGCATCAAGATGAACGAGCCGCGAAACAACCGAGTAAAGATGAAAAACTGTTTCGAGTTGCTAAATAAGATATAAGCTGTAAACGAGTTTAAGTATGGTAAATAATATAAGATTAAACATGTTTTCATCTCAATGAATCTATAGAAAGTCAATTGGTCCTTGGATCGAGCTATCAGTCATGAAGGAAAAGCAATCCCTCCGTCAGTTAATCAACTTTCTAGTCTACCAGACTCATGTCTATTAACTAGGATAACCAGGACTTTCTAGTGCTTTAAGGAAAATCTACCAGTCATGAGAAATGTAGTCAGATGAGGACTGATGCAGACCGACACTCAGTACAAAAGTTCATCAGTCAATCAGCAGATGGGTGCAACTTCAAAGGGCTGATTTCTTACCAGAAATAACACAAACTACAATCGAGACTATAAAGAGACCCATGAATACGCCCGCTGAGAACACGTAGCCTGTCGATGTGGTTTGACCCAAGGGCGGAACTCGAAGCTTTTCCATTGCCTTGCCACGATCACCGTCTGTTATGTATTGGGTGAAGAGGTCCTCAACTTCGGAAATCATTTCACGCAACTCAACTCCGTCGATATTTAAGGGCGTGACATCCAAAGTGTTCTGAACCCACCTAGGTACATTGGAGGTAGGGAAGTACTTCCTGCACTTTTGGCTCAGTTTGAAAAAGCACGCATAATTGAGCTGCTGGTAATTGTTGAGTAACACCAGACTGAAGTAGAACTCGGCATAGGCGCGATCCAGTTTGCGCAGATTTCGTGGTTGATCGGCCAGCGGAGGAAGCCCTTTGACGGCACCCGTAACATTCGCTTCGCTTCTACCCTTTATATAGAGCAGCTTCACCTTCAGAGTGGCATGCTTACGCCTTGCCTCAGCCATTTTGTATTCGAAGAACTCATTCACCCGCTTCAGCTCGGTGGTCAGCTTTGCATAGAACTCGTCATTAAAGTTTTGACAATAGACATCAAATGCGTCCTTGTCCCTTGGGTTCGGCGCATTTTCCAATGCGGTGTGCAAGAAGTCCTTCAGCTCCTGTGTGGTCAGATCGGATCATTTAACTACGGATCGGATCATTTAATCGCTGGTCCTGCTGTTGCGTACTAACCTCATAGTTGACATATTGCTGACGCCATTCACTTGTTAAATGACTCTCAAAAGTTTTGTCGAGCTTCATATCGATTTAACTTGTATTTCGTAGTTTCTGTGATGAGTGATAACTCAACTGTAGAAGGATGCGACATCAAAGAGAAATATTCTATCGAAGTACTTGTCGCAGACCACTAGTAAGTAATTCAGTTTATAGTGAAGATTTGCTGACAAACTAAGAGATGTCATTTGAGACCATCAGTTTGTTCGATTAACTTTATTCATCTATAACCGGAAGACTGAAGGAAAGAGATCCACTGCAATAACGTTGCTGAAGGCATATTAAAAAGCAATTATGTTTCAAATATATTTCATATTTATATTTTATTTCGTTGCTGAATAGAACATAGCTAATATTCAAGCAATCAGTTTAAAGGAAATCAAATTTGGACATTGTAGCTGATTTTGCGATGTTGCCTTAGAAACTCGATTGCTTGCCGGTCTGTACGCTCTTGTCGATTCTGGAGTCCTCCTCAGTGAACTTTCCGATGGGCTGTAGGTAAATGTCACGGTGAGCACGGAAATTGCCCACATTGAACAAGTGCTCGTTCTCCAGGCGCAAATAGTTCCAGATGAATCGTCTGCTCACCTCCAGGAAACTGGCGATCGTCTTGCAATCGTGGGGCAACAGAACGTTATAGTAAATAAAACATATCTCCAGGACCCAGATGAAACGAATCAGAACGTTCGTTATGATGGCAAAGTAGTAAAAGCTCTGGGGATATTGTTAGGATCATGTTGGTTAGCTTAAGGTGAGGACGACTCTTGAAAGCTGTATCTATACCTTACGATACACGAGATGCTTGCGCAGAAATATGTTTTCACCTTTCCAAACTTGAAACAGACCAAAGTCATAAATCACATCCCAGACTGAGAAATAGATGGCGGATACGAGAGACGAGAGTAGATACGGCCATATCCACGGATTATCAAACATGCTACTATATTCATCTGCAATGAAAAGAGATTGATGAATTAAGTGAATGAACAACTGCGAAATACCCTGTACATCATTGGCAAAAACCACCTTACCCTCATGCATCGTGTACAGGACATTTTGCAGGGATATACGTACCACTCGTTTCCATTACAACTGTGGAAAAGATGACCACAATGATGCTACTGAAATATTTGCAAGCATTCAGGAAACATAAATGCGGCTTATAGTGCTTATCATAATATCGTCTCAGGCACTGGGCTAAGCGGAACCAGGGCGGCAGGCAACATATGATCGGAACCATAAAGTCCGGCTCGAAGTCGAAAGCATTGGGCAATTTCATGTAGTAGCGAAAATAGAAACGCACCAGGTGGTAGTTGTCCACAATACACTGAACCAGCGAAAGGAGTTGATCGGCGATCCAGAAGTCGGCGAACTGCACATGGAAGAAGGGAGCAGCTAGGATTCTGCCAAAGCAGCGCAAGATCCACATTCGCGCTTTCAAGTGGAGCATGGGTATTGGATTGATCAGTAGCAGCAACGGCAGCCCTAAAGGGATCAAGGGGAAGTGGTATGGAACGTCTACGCCGAACTCCTTGTGGTGCAGAAACATGAGCATGGACAGAGTGCAGATGTAACCGATGGCGCTGGCCAGCTCCAGAAACGTCGCCGGCAGCACTCGCTTGCGCGCGTCCAGCTCAAAGATCAGCACATGGTTGATGCCCACCCGCTGCCAAACGTACACATTGATTACCAAGTAGAAGCAGCAGAGCACCCAGGTGATCAGGCCCCGGTACATGCGGCCAAACGTGTAGAGCAGCGTGCTGTTGGTCGCATAGATCACTGCGGGAGATGGGGGAGAGAGGTGGTTAGGTACAGGGGCTGGATGTCTGGGCGGACCTACTCGAGAGGAGCACAACGATGGCGCTGACTACAAACAGGCCCAGCATCATGCCGGCCATGAATACCCTTGCGGGCGGCGAGACCTGGCGCAACGGTGGCACTCGCAGCTTTTCCATGGCCTTGGTGCGGTCTCCGTGCGTCAGATGGGTCGTGTAGAGATTCTCTACGTCGGTGATCATCTTCATCAGTTCCTCTTCCTTGCTGAAGGGCGCCTGGCTGACGTACTCCTTGAACCAGGCCGCTCCTCTGTCAGACTTGATGTGCTTGTCGTACTTTTTGCATATTTTGCGAAAGGCCGTGTAGTTGAGGCTCTGGAAGTTCTGGAGCATGATCAGGCTCAAGTAGAACTCGCTGCACACATAGCCCATGTGGCGCGCATTGTAGGTGCGTATAACTGCGGTCAGCTGGATCTTGATCTCGTCCAGCTTGCGACGCGCCTCGGCCAACTTCTGGGCGAAAAAGTCCTCAACGCGGCTCAGCTCTTGATGGCAAACGGCAAAGAAATTGCGCTGGAAATTTTCGTAGTATTCCGCAACTGCCGGATCAACAGAAGAATCCTGCTCGCGTACATATCTGGTGCCCCGTGCAACCTGCCTATCGGGCGCGTTGACCACCGCGTCGCGTATCATGGCGTCTAGCTCCTATATAGGGGTGATAATTATATCCAGATGATACGCAATATTGATGTAGATAGCTCACCGCATAGTCCATGTATTGCTGGCGCCATTCGTGTGTCAAATGGCTCTCAAATGTCTTTCCAAACTTCATAATGTCCTTCTACAGTGAATTCTAAGAAAGTTACGATTATATTCCCTTAAACACAATTTACACAAATCTCCCTTGCTAAACACCTACTCTGATGAGATTATTTTGTTCGACGAGCAACCTAAGATATTGACAGTTAAAAATAATCTCGAATTCAGAATTGAATTTGTTTATGGTATAAGAGTTAAAAGAACCTCGAGCCACTGTAAAAATTAAAATGTTATATATTTCTTAATTCAATTGCTGTTTTTACAACAAAATGCGGTACTATTTCCAAGTGTCTTGTGCAATTATGTTGTTATAAAATAATACACAAGAATTTACATTTACTGAACATTATATAATACTCACCTAATTCATTACTAAATAAATGGATTCTAAACCAAAATTAAACAGTAAAAATTCTTTTAAAAACACTTAATATGCATTCTTTTTGTTTTTTTTGCAATTTTCCATTTGCATATCAGATATTAGATCCTTGGTATTTTTGTTTTTATCTTGATTTTATATTATTTTCTATTTAGTATATATTACATATTTTCAATAAGACTCCATAAATGGCCTTCAACTGCTCGCGCTGTTGCGTCAGCCCACTTAAGACCCGCCCTGATTTCGAAATACATCCCCAGTTTCAGGCACATGCATCTCATTCCATCTCTTGTCAGCTTGCCCGTCTCTCGATATCATTCTGGTCCAACTGTATGGACTGCAGTTTAGCGAGGTCGTTTCCTTGATACACTGCTCAAAAATTACGAAATTTACTTTTTATCTAAATTTTATAAAATATTCCAAGGTCTTTTGTTTGCAAGAGCAAGAGAATGGTCACACGGTAAAATATTTCATTCTGTCCATGAATTCAGTTCGATTATAAAGTGTTGCTTGCCCAGCTGGAGCAGAGTATTAGACAGTCAGTATCCAGATTTGTATATTTCCCGCTGCTTGACATTTTCGCTTTTGTTTTTGCGGACAGTCGCTCGCTTCCGGGTTTTGGTTTTCATCCTGCCTCGTCGCGGGCTTTAATACACATTTTTTCGCATTCTCCTGAAGTGGATGTAGAGCTACATTATATTTTGTGCGTTGGCTCCTGAAAAATTTGCAAAGGGGAGCTTTAAACCGCGTTGAGCGGGAACTAAGGGTTGCTGAGATATCCAGCCCCCAAAAGCAAGAACTCTTTAAGGAAAACCTTAGAATGCTCAATCAACGCGCAGAGCTTCGCCATTCGATTTCAGTTGGCAGCAGTTAGTCATATTTTTCTAGTGGCAAACAAAGAAAATGGCATTCGAGTGGTTAACAAGGGGCGAAAATGTCGTCTACAGGCATGCCAGAGGGGCTTGATTTCTACCTCATCATCAAAGCGAACATTCATCTCGACTAACGTGAAAAATGTGAAACAATTGCAACGATGATTACTTTTCCCCGCTCCAATTTGTTGTTGTTGTTGTTGTGGCTGGAAAAATGGTCGTAAAGGAAAATTGAATTGGTAAAAGTTTTCCCTGGCCCTGGTTAGCATTTGCTTTAGGCCAGCATAGAAGGGATGCAGAGAGAGAGGGAAAGAGAGAGAACGAGAAGGAGCTGAGAAGAGGGAACGAGAAAGCCAGGTGAAACAGTTTCATAATTATATGCTAAGTACTCTAGTAATTAACTCCCCTGGGATGGGCTTTTCAAGAACTGTTAGATGCTGATTAAACTGTTGACTGAGCCCCATCAGTATTTAAGCCATTGACTGGCACAGGCAGTGGGCGACAAAAATTGGCAACATGTGCACAATATGCGCATAAAACTCCGACTACATTTAATTTCCGCTTGGATAAAAACGTGCTGCTGTCAGCTATGCTGGAACCATTTTGATACCCTGTAGTTATGGGAGTGATTGCAAAGGGTATACCAAAAGTTCGTCAAATGTAATAAGCCGAGAAATAATCCTCTATCTCAACAGAAACTACAATAGAGTTATATCAAAGATAAATACAAACTCTATAGTTCCTCAAAAATATATATGTCTCTCTGTAGAGAGTTTCAATCTTTAAAGTTTGCTTAAAAAATGCAAAACGCATTGAATGACTTTTATTGCAATGAATAATTGTATCGCATAACGCAAATGTAGAACCTACATAGGGTGTCAGTCACAAGTCTAAGATGGTTCAACAAAGAGTCATTATTTTTGCCCATTTACAGGGTATTAGCTAAGCATCAACTCTCAACTCACAGCGGATGCTATTGTGTGTTTTAGTAGCATAAAGAAAGAAGCAAATAAAAATATTTGCATAGACAATCTGTTGGACAATTGGATAGACTAGCGGCCAAGTGAACAGCCGGGTGTAGATTGCCAGCCAAAGTGGGCAGTGGGCAGTGGGTAGTGGGTAGTGGGCGGTGGGCGTGTCAGCTGGAGCTGCATAAAATGAAAAGTAAACATAGCAACATTCTCTGCCATTGAAATGATAAAGTGCGCCGGCTGCCAGTACGACAAAAGG